ATCTGTAAAATATTCTAGGATACTCAATAAACTTGATACAGAGCATGCAAGCCCATAATTTGCAGGGGGGAAGTAGCACATATTTCATATTTAACCACTGCAATTGTCAACTCTGTGTACATGCATCACTGAAAGACTAAGTGAAGAAGAAAAAAATAAGAAACTAGTACATATATTTATTTCAAACAAACGGAACACTAAGCATTCACATAGACAGCACTAGCTTAATACTTAATTTAAAGCTTGAGCTGCTTACTAGCATTACCAAACAAAGTTATTTTATACCACAGAATATGACTATATGGCTTTTATTTTAATATTCTGCCATTAACCAGTTCTCTCTGTCAGTTCTGAACGAGGCCAAGTGGAATCCAACACAAACACCGAGACAGCCCATGCAAATTCTCATCCTCTTGATCTTCTTTCACCTTTCTAGGACTCCTACCCAATTAAACTTGCCATTTTTGCTTGCACCCAGGGAGGGGTTTCCGTGGGCTCACCACCTTCAGAGCCCCTCTGCCTGGGAGGAAGTTCACCACAGGAGCTAACAGGGTTAAGTGTTCCTCCAGGAGAAGTTTTGACTTTCAAATGGAAGCCTTCAGGATCAAGACAAATCCATCATTCTAATGCTCAGAACGAAGCTGTTGAAACCAAAGGAAATGAATCCATCCAGTGGATCATTAGCCATGCGTGGAACGTTGCTCCCAGAATTAATAGATGCAATGTCATGCCTTGGGAATACTTTCAACCCGTTCCCAGTCAGCTGGAAAAGGACAGAGGGAAATTTCTATTTTATTTTTTTTCCCCCTGCTCTCTCTTTCTTCCTTCCTGCCTCCTTTTAAAATCCACGCTGCTGAGAACTTCTCCACAGAGTAATTCATAATCTAACTCTATTAAAATAAGCGCTGCTGCTAAGCATAACCCAAAGATGAATTATCAAAACAGAATAATACTAATAATGAGGAGCTGCAAGCTCTTTCCAGGCAGTGGACCGTCTTGAACTGCAGGTCTGTCTACCCCCTTGAGATCAGCGCTCCAAAGAACCACAGCACCAGCATAAGAAAACAAAAATAGAGTTTGATTTTAATGCTCAAATGTTGTGGAACTTCAGTGCCTCTTCTGGTTTCGGACTGACCACGACAGCAAGGAGTGCTGCTTACTCTTCATCATACTGCAATAATAAAATCTGTGTAGAATCATACATCCACTAATTGACAATTAACATATGCTTCCTTTTACTTAAAGGCTTCAAAGTCGTTTCAGAGCCTTGGGATACATCCCAGGGACCCATTAAACAAACGGCTCTTTTAGATTGCTAAACACCGTCATCATCTGGCCAGGCAAGAGGAAAAATCCAACTCATGAAACATTCCTTGTATAAAGCAAAGTGCCCCAGGACTCGCTCAGCCTTAAGCCCAGGTCCAGCCCTACAATGATCAAGGAAACATTTATCTTAGTCCTTTTTTCTGTGTTGCACTTTTCCCCCTCTAACAGAGTCAAGGGCTGCGTAGCTTTAAACACATTTTATCATCCCAAAGTGATGAGTAACATTATGTTCCCTGTGCAGGTCTTTCTGGGCAGGGTTCTCAATCATTCAACCCATCTTGCCAGTTACCAACATTTTCAAGTGCTCTTAAATGAACAGATCTGGTTTGGCCTCCCCTTCAGTAGAGAAGATGGAAAATATTCACACCCCTTCACTGCAATGGCCCAAGACTGCTTAAAGCAGAGAGGGAATGGGTCATGTTAGAATGTCCATGGATAAAACTGGGCAAAACTGGGGGAAGGAGGAGGATGTTGGCAACACAGGCTCTTGACTGGACTTACAGAAAACACCCCAAAGGTCTGCTTCCTGAAACATTGCTCTTTGTCTACAATATTGCATATCTTTGCATATCTTTTGTCTACAATATTGCATATATTTGTCTACAATATACATATCTCCAAAAAATGGATGTTTTCAGCTCCAAGCAGTGCTGCATTGTTGGAAAGCAGTTGTAGCTCCCACCCAGGGCAGGGACTGACAGCTGCTCTGATGAACCCCTTCACATCACTTATATACCAACCCAGGAATTGCTTTCAGTTAGTAGTATGCACCCAAACTCATTTCAGATTGTTACATCTACCCCATCTTTGCACACAGAAAATATTTCTAATTGCTATAACCAATATAAAAAGCCACCATTAACAAGCAGACCAAAAAATTGATCTATTACATGGACTGAAGTTAGTAGTAATGATCTTAATTCTCCACAGGTTTCTTGCTTTTTGAGAACAGAGCAGACTCCCAAGATCTCACTTCAAAGCTGTTTAGAGCTGAGAGGTATTCACCATCCTTATGATTTCAATAATTATTGCTATTGAATTAATCTACTGATCTGTGACTTCCAGGGATGCCAAGTTTCCTTTATGCCATCTTACAGCCAATGGAAATACAGATTTTACACATGCATATATACAGTGTGTGTATATATATATGTGTGTGTGTGTACAGACTTGGGAGCAAGTACTGAGAATGAGTAATTCTGGTTTTGAAATCACATAAAGGGAGTCAAGGCAGGGCACTGTGAGAGAGAACTGCAGCACACAAAGCACTTCACTCCATAGGAGATTTACAGTTTGCAGTGAAATTAAAGCTATTAACATCAACCTTTTACCTACCTGATAAGCCAGGAAAGATGACAATAATACTTTAACTCTTAATACAGCTCGGGAGATCTCGAGGCACTTTTTAAACTGTTCCCCAATGGAGGGGTGACGTGTCATACTCTCACAGTGTCATAAAGTGGACTATGAGCACAAGAATAAACCCAGCTCCACCACCTTCCTCTCTATTTACCCCTCCATTTACCCTCCTATACTGGTACTGTCCTCCTTATCATTGCCATTTTTACCCCCTTGCAGTAGGCTTACAGGAGCTGTACACTGGACATTCACATAAGGACATTGAGATGCTACAGCCACTTAAACCCAAGCTGTCCCATCTTTGCAGCTATAACATACAGATATAAACCCTGTTCTAAGTAAGCTGTATGTTTCCTCCCTTATTATGCGAATACTTAATTATTTTACTCCTCTACAGAAGTACTTCACCACTAAAGACATTTCACTGCTAGATTACACTGGCTATCTGTTCACTCCAGCAACTTTACAGGTAGCCAAGTAGACACTTTCTATCCGCTCGTTTCTCAAAAAAACAAACCAACCCAGTAAACATTCAAAGTACAGCTGTATATTCTAGGGAAGTAATTCTTGGCACATGAAAATACGTGAGCTGCCAAAAGATTTTCCAATGTGTTCACTGCTATAACAGCAGCTTTCCCCTGAACTGGAACTGAAATGGTGCAAGACCCTGCATTCCTCTAATTTGAAATGAAGGGAAGAACTCATCAACACGTCTGCTCAGGGACAGCACCTCTTTGATCCCCGCTGGTAACTCATGCAGATTTTACTCCTAAAGCATGCAAACATTTATTTACGAGTGTATTATCTGAGGCACTCAGATGCCAGCAATAGCCCTGATGTCAGCACCACTAAATTGAAAGCAAACTGATTTGCAGATATGTGGGGAGCAGACACCTTTAAAAATAAAGAAATAAATAAAAAGAACAAGCTGCTGGAAGGGCAATGGATGCAAATTCAAGATCTCCTGATTTTATTCCAAGCTTTTACCAGTGCCTTAATGAACAATCACAGACAAGCCACTTCATGTTGTTTCTCAATACATTAATTAGGAATAACGACACTCATCTCACATCCAGTTCCACAGCTGAAAGGTGCTATGTGGCAAAGGTTTCCTTTTTATTTAGCTTAAAAAAAAAAAAACCCAAAAAAACACAACCCAACACCTGGAGAGAGAAACAATTTGCCAGAATTCTCCTCATCAAAACAAACAGCAACTCCCAAAAGTTGCAATGCCAAAAGCAATAACGAGGAGCTGTCTGCAGCCCGAGTGACACCGTGCAGATCAAAACTCATTTGCCATGAAGAGCTGCATATTTAGGGCTACGCTCTACTAAAGCAGAAGGAAGAAGCCTGGGAAAATACAGTAGTAAAAGTTTTTTCTAGGCCTAATTTGAAAGAATATATTGTGTACAGAAATACTTTCAAGTTGCCAACGCTCAGAATTCTAGCTGAGGGCAATTTGTTTTCCATGGAACTATGAGATGCAGAAGGAGGAGCCTCAGAAGCTGAAGGCACCAGAAACTCTCAGATTGGGGCAGAGAACAGGACAAATGCTCAAGTTTTCACCTTCCAAACCAAGGAGCATGTCACAGCATTCCTTCTCCTGCAGTTCACTGTGGGGGCCCTACCCAGGCCTTAATTCACAATCCCAGTCCAAAGGGTGGACGAAGGAAGGGTTCTGCTCTGTTCTGGACAACAGAGGGCAGGTACAGAAAACAGCTTCATTTTTCACAGTGAACATACATCAAATCTGAAACTGGCTTTGCATTTTGCATTTCATTGTCTGTTTTAAAGACAAAACAAAATCCATTTAATTATTGTCATAGTTTTGTTTCATTTAGTATATTCCATTGTTGAATAATGTATCTTTTGTAAATTAAGATAAGGAATATAACAGCTTTAGTTCATAATTAGCTCAGCATAAAGAAAATTTCAGAGACTGCATTTAAAGTCATATCTTTCATTGAATAGCACTGCTGAATTTTTAGCAATCAAAACTTTCATCAGGTAAACATCACGTCAAAACCACATTCTGAAAGCTTAAGTTCTAACTAAAGAGCACACCATTATTTGCATCCCTCAGGATGATGTGACACTTCAGCTGAGGCAAATCTCCTCAGAGGCACCACACTCTGCTTCAAAACTTTTCCAAGACGACAAAGCTGCCAAACAACCCTGTAATACCACACTCAGCTTCAAAACTTTTACCAAGACGACAAAGCTGCCAAACAACCCTGTCCTGTACCCAGAGAAAATAAGCTCAAACCTTTTGCACGTCCGTTAGTGATTTGCAGAGGTCCGAGCTGAGCACTCACCTTTGCTGGATGGAGAAAAGCCGGAGCAGAGAGTTCAAAGCCTTTGTGTAAAATCTCCCCGCTGCCGGGCAGAGCCTGCAAGAGAAACAGAGGGTCCTCTACTCTAAACGCTAAACCACGTTCTGCCCCACCTTGGCTTTGCCAAATCCCAACAGGACCTGCCCCTCCTCACTTTGCCAATTAACCCCTAGCAACGACACAGGTGGGTGTTGCTTCAATTAATTAATTACCAGCTGTAACAGCTACCCGCTCACAGGTGTCTTCAATACCAGCGAGGCTGGGCCACCACCAGAACACACGCCCTACCGCAGGTGCGTAAAATTATATGGAAACATAAAAGCTAAAATGAATATGTTATTAAAATGTCTCACAGACATAATGTAAAAAGTCAGAGTTTAATCTTAAAAGTCATCATCTTTGATCATTTTAAGAACTCTTTCACACACCTCTCTTGAAACAATATAATTATAGATAATTACACCTGCAATCTGGAATTTTTGCAGAGAGCACCATCAACCTCTGGAATTCACTGCTGCAGTGAATATATCACTGGTTACTTATTTTCTAGACGTTTGATTAAATGAAGAGGAGTTACTAGACAGAAAGAAAATAAATTAACCTATTTGCTAGCGGATTTGATCACTGAGATGATCAGGGGACTCAAGACTGATGCAGGTAGTTTCTCGTAGGAAGAATATTCTGTACTGGAACCACCAGGCACCCAACTGGGCCACACCAAACCCCTCTGCTGAGGGAAAAGGTGCTTCAGAGACTGTCCCAGTCTGATGTGTCCACTCTTCCACACCCCAGTCCTTACAGGTGTTCAGTCTTTACGTTATACCCCTGGAACAATTACCTTATTCAGTAGGAATTAATCACATTACAGCAAGGCCCAGCTACTCCCTCTTTCGGTTGCAAACGCTGCCACTAAGCTAAAAAATAAAAGGTGCCAAAGAAGCAAAACCACCCAGTGAAGGAGCCTTTTCACTGCTTATGGGTGGTTGGATCCGGTAAAAGAATCAAACAGGATCTGATCCTCTGAAAAAACGTGGAAAATCTGAAATTGAAAAGAAAAACCCCAATATCCACTCCTCTGGCCCTGGAGTTAACAGATATAATGATGTGGGTCTTGCAGCAACTAAAATAAGTGGAAGCAAATATTTGTAATATATTTGATGAGGCCGGTTGATGGTTTTGCAATGGCCTGGCACACAAAGGGGCATCGGTATCGTGTCATCTGGGTGATACCAGGAGGCTGTGGGTACCTAATCTCATGGTGCTCCAGAGACAGATCGCTCCTCACACAGAGCCCGTGCTGCTCAGGGCTCTTTTCTTCCTTCCTGGTGTCTCTTTCTTCAAGCGAGAGAAAGCAGAAATCTTTCTTCAGCCATATTTCTTAGCCTTAAATCTTTTACTGAGCCAGAATGAGCTGCTCTCTTGATTAAACACAGGACTCTCTCTCACTCCATCATTTTCAGTATTATCACCAAGAAGAAACACATAAAAGCCTCACTGTAAATGAGCAAAGTTAATGAAAAAGAGCCATGTGAGGCTTGTAAACCATTGCACTGTTTCAGATCTGGCTGTAACCTACAGCCCCTGCACACCACCTCACTTAGAGAAAAAGTGCTGCCATGTAAATGGATCTGTAAATTATCTGTGTCTAACGCAGGTAATTGGGAATGGTCAGGATGAGGAAAGCATCTTGGCTGGAATGATCTCCAGGAAAAACAGAAAAGACATCGAGAGGAGGAATTTGTGCCTGAAATTTAAATTTTCAGGGCTCAATTCTCATTGCAGCGTGGCCTGATGCAAAGCTCCCCGACGGCAGCAGAGAGAGATTTGCTCTGATTTCAGAGGGGTTTGATCAGACTCCGACACCGAAACACCATTTACTCTGGGCACATTAGAGAGATCTCGGCTTTCTCAGAAGTGAATATTCATTAAATCAGCAAACAGACACAAGAAAAAGAACACAATGAAACAGCACATGACTCAACAATAAATCATCATCGATTTTGCTCAGTCCTCCTGAGCCTGTTTCTCTGATGGGGAGCAGGCGTGAAGGGAAGCAGGGCCCGGGCTGCGGCACGGCTCGAGGACCAACCCAAAGGTTCAGCAAACCAGGGGCTGTTACCCAGCTGAGCTAATTATTCCCCTCTTTCAAATTACTCAAAGTAGATTTATTAATTGTATGGGAAAAAAAAAGCGCCTACTATGTCCTTCTGTATTTCCTTTTATTAATTTTTAATTCATTCTCTTTTAATTATTAGGACCTACTCTGCAATGTCCTGGATGAACGCTAATAATTAAAGTCCAAGTATTTGTTCTAAATTAAATCAAACCTCAGCTCCTGCAGGGGGGGCGTTGTTGTTTCTTTTCTCTTTTGAATAGGGAAAAATTGAGGAGACACATTTGTTTATGACATCCACAGAATAGCTGGTTCTTAACAAGACAAATATTACACCAAGTTAATTTGAAGGTAGTATACATAATGCAGCATATCAATTTTGTATGACATACGGGCTTGTGCCTGCATAATAACAACTTAAAAACAACATTGTGTTGCCAGTGACAATTACGAGACCGTACAGCACTTCGGTGGGGCACAAATTAATTTAATTCATTGCAGCAGGCAGGCTGGCACACACCGAGAAAAACCACTGCAAAAATGACGAACGCTTTACATTTTACAACATAAATACTTCCTTTAGAACAACAAACCCCTGTCGGGAGAGAAGCACCTCCTGGCATTACTCCAGTTTATTAAGCCAGCCCCACTGCAACGTAAAAAAAAAAACACCTGCAAACATACATCACAATGATCCTCAACCCCATTTTACTCAGTCCCTCATAAGGATGCAAGAGCAGGGAAAGCATCCGGGAGCTTTCATCTAAAATTTGTGAAGAGTATTGTGAAATAAAAACCTAGAAGAGCTTCTCTCCTTTTCTCTTACAGCCAAGAAGTTACCTGTAAACAAGCCCCGAAATTTCATGACTCAAGACACACTTCACGTGATCCCGTGGGCAGCATCGCTCAAGTGGGGATCTCAAAAGAGCCAGACTCATTTTAGTTTGACAGATAAATGCTTTAATCCCATCAAACGGTTGCGTCCGTTCTCCCAGTGATGCTAATATAATAATGGAGAATTCCATTTATTTTAGAGGAGCTAAAGCCTGTCCTGGAGAATACAGACACGGATCTGTAACGCTGCAGTTCCTCACAGTGAGATCCTGGGAGACTGCCCAGCCGTGCCATCGCTGATCCCACAAAGCCCTTACAACACATCCTTGATTTTTAGAGGGATTTTCAGGAGTGTGAACGTACAATTTCAAAGGAATATGAACATTTTTGGTCTTAGCAGACCACCGAGCTCACTGTCTTGCTGAGGGTAGCAGCATCTTCAAGCTGCTTCAGAAGGGGAGGTAAGAAACCATCAAAATGAGTCTGTTTGCTTAATAATTCTACTCTTAAAGTTCCTTTCTCGTTCCTGCCTGCACAGGAAATTGTTCCTGTCTTACACAGGGAGGGACTGTATCACATCCAAACTATTTTTCAGATATACTGTGGAGACATTTGACAGTGGAAGGGTCCTTGCTTAGTGTTTGAAAGCAATGGGAAATCTGGGAGAAAAAAAAAATCCCAAATCACAGGGTCTTAATCCAAAACACCTCGGGGCAGGTGGAATCCAGATTATCCACTGTTAAAAATCAGTGGTAAATGCAGAGAAACTTTCTACACGCTCTATACAAGCTACTGTCTTTCTAGTCCTTTCTACCGACTATTTTAAGCCATTTTATCTGTGCTGGCGTCAGTTGTTGCTAACCATAGTAATCTCCTTTTACAGAAAAATAAAAGGGCTTCATGAGATTATGTAAAGGCAACCAAGAATAGAAATGAATATAAATACCAAGGAATATATCGACTGTTAACATTCAAGACAAGACGCAATCTTTGGGAAGCAACAACATTATAGATGTCTATAGTAGATATTCACCTATTTGTCTAAGACTTACACCACCTCGAACTGATCTCTTCAGACAGACGTGGGGATGGGGTTTCAGAGAGGCTGGTGAAGAAACACCTTTCTGAAGGATGTGGTCAGCGGTATCAAATTTGGGACTTATCCACGTTGACTAAGATCTCTCATTTTTGGCACTAAAGCAAAACTGAGACCTGGATTTTCTCTTTTTTAGGGGAGGGAAAAGTGAGTTATTTAAGTGAGTTTCAGGTTCTACCAGTTTTGATGCTTTTTAAAGATAGCGCTTTCTATTTTTCTGGGGAGGGACTCTTTACCAGGGAGGGTAGCGACAGGATGAAGGGGAAGGGTTGGACACTGAAAGAGGGGAGATGGAGCTGAGCTGTGGGGAAGAACATCTTTGCTGTGAGGGTGGTGAGAGCCTGGCCCAGGTTTCCAGGAGAAGTTGTGGCTGCCCCATCCCTGGAGGGGTTCAAGGCCAGGTTGGAGGGGGCTTGGAGCAACCTGGGCTGGTGGGAGGTGTCCATCCCAGGGCAGGGGGTGGCAATGGATGGTCTTCAAGGTCCCTTCCAACCCAAACCATTCTGTGATTCTATGACTGTGACCCTGACCCTATTCACACAGAACCCTGATTGCATGGAAAAGCTTTGCAGAAAGTAGCCAGAGCTTCCAGTTTTCATGAACCAGGTTCAACAGAGAGTGTTCATGCGCAGAGGAACCGAGCTTCCTCCAATTACTGCCACTGTCCCCATGCGAGGTGCCCAGGGCTGCCAATTCTCTTTAAGTTGCAATTCCCAGAGGTTTAATTTACATCTTTGGGCCACCCTTTCTCACAGCTGCTGCTGGACAGGATTAGTAGCTTTCAAAGAAATTTTAAGTGAAAGCAGTCAGAAATTTTAGGTGAATTGGCTGTGCAATGCTTGGGAGTTCCCAGAGTTCACCTCAGCATTCCAGGGCAGCCTAGAAGACTGAAAAGGAAAATTTTCCTGTTCCTCTGAAATTGCCTATATTTCTGCTCATCTATTACAATGTTTTGCAACTTTTCTGTAAGAAAAGGATATTCTGTAAGTAAAAAGGATGTCCCAACTGACACAC